TGAAAATATTACAATAGTGCCAATAGATATACTTATTATCATATGAAAATTATTTATAGCATAACCCTTTCATTGGAAATCAATCAAGTAACCTTTAAAAGCATGTACTGTGAATGTAAATAAATATAAATATGGGCACTTCAAATATTCCATTAAATATACAAATACTCTCCAAAAAGAAAAACCTCCAATTTACATTGTTCACATAATTTGGACAAATGGAATGGAAGATTATCGTACAAATCTATATATAAATCATGTAATATCATTTTCGTTATACTGTTTTCTCCACCTTACTTTGCAAGCAAACTGGCAACATTCCTTGCAATATCCTTAACGAACCGTAGAACCTTCCTCAAATTTCATGACGATATTATCTTCTACGTATTGTTACGAATATATTACCTCTACACAGGAGAGTGCAATTACGGACGCGACCGTTTGCAGTTCCGTAAATTGTTCATTAACACAATTCCACAATATGGAATCATTTTTTCAAGTTTAGTGACCAAAAAGCTATTCGAAAAGTTCTGAAAATATATTAGCCTGTTGGAGATGAAATAACCGAGGTGCTGCTAAAACTTTCGACATGTGCAGTTTTAGTAAAAATATAATAGTTATTAATCGATGCACGAGCTGCTGGTTTCAATATACTTTACAAGACTATTTATGCTTTCGTTTCAAAAAACAAAATTTAACAAGAATTTATTATTGGACAAAATAAATTTTTGATTTATGGTTCACTCTCGTATACAATCTGCCACTGAACAATAAAATAACTGACGAACCGCCGATCGTGTTGTTTTTGGCTAACTTCGAGCTTCAAATCGATGTAGGTATGTACATACAATAAGTTAACAAGTGTTATCCAGAAGTACATTGAAGAACGAAATTTCGAAAAATGTATACCCTTGTGAATTAGACCATTTTGTATACAAGTTAATATTTTAAGGTACCTTCGTATTAAATTGCATTTGTATATACTCATTTTCTCCACTCTAGTACGTAAGAACAAAATGCGCTATGACGTCTCCTGCTTGTTTTAGAGCATTTTTGGAGAGAGTTACTGTCTCTATTAAACTTTTCACTTGTCACTTGCTACGAAACGATGTTCACATAGTAGGTCACCCCATAAGTTTGAATTTCATAATTTATATCCATATTTCCAAAAAACCTTTAAATTTGATTAAAAAAAAAACGTAAGCGCTTTTTCGTTCCACAACTTTCTCCTATTTTCTTCTTTTTTTTTTTTTTTGGTAATACCATTATGTCGTCGCTACAGAATTTCCTTGAATTTTCATTAAAATATTTTTCACTTTCGGCACGAACTTATGGGATGACCTGATACCACAGACGGTTCCAGTCGCTTGTAGTAGCGGTAGGGTTAAAGGCAGCAGAATTAATTAAGAATGATACCGATAACGATGAAATTAAGACGATAAATATCTCGTTTTAAGTAGAAACATTTTCTGTCCAAAAGAAACATTGTCAAAGCAACTCTCCGGGGTGGAAAAGCAAACTCGAAACGCCAGAGGGTGTCCGCACACGAATTATACACATGGTTGTGAGTCTCCTTCAGCGACGGAGTCTGGTGACCAGTTTCGTCGCAACGAAAGGGTTAAATATACTGTCTAACCGCAAAATGCACCATTGTGCAAGTGATAAGAGATCGATAACTATGCTTGTCACTCATAAAAGGAGACTTAATGTTCAAAGACTGAATTACATAGGTGCCTTACCTCATACATATGTAACTCTGATGTAAAAGCCAAAGATGTACACTTATTTTGTTTATTTGAAGTTTAATCAATATTGTAATTTTTCTTTGTAAAATTAACTAAACTCTATAAACCGGGATAAACAACTCTAAACTAAACTACAAATTAAACCTAATATTTTAAATGTTTCAATACTTCAACGAATTCCTGTCATTTGAACTTCAAATGTTAAAGGAATGTAAGAATATGGTTGAGTGAAGGTAGGGACTCGGGCCGGTTTATGACCCGCAGACCTCTCGGTCTGCGGAGGAACTCGGTCCCAACACCTGACTCCCCCACGCGCTAAGGGCTGGGTCAGGAAGGACCCAGCCACGTACTCGCGCGACGCGGTCCTTGCCGGGTAGATACCCCAAACTTGCGCCAGGGTTTCCCGAAGGCAAGAGAGGGGCGTCAAAGTCCCTTAAGAACCCTCCACTCTTCCGGTGACCCTGGGTGACGAAGGCCAGGCCACCACTTCGCCGCTTAAATCTCGCATTCCTTACAGTATCGTGTAGTGAACAATCGTTTGTAAGCACAGTTTCAAGAAACAGAACACAGTGTAGGCTATTAACCAAATGTATTATTCTTAGAATATAAGCGGTGGCTAAGATGCTCGGGTGTCCGTCTCGCTCGACGGCTATAACGAGAGTGCCCTCTCCGAGTCCTATCCTGCGTTGCTCCGAAAAACCATTGGAACCTCCTAGTCCGACTGTCCTGAGAAAGGCCTCAGTTTACGGCACCCTCAGGTACCCACGCGCTTTCTCTTCCTGGGTGACGAAGTCCAGGCCACCACTTCGCCGCCTAAATATCGCATTCCTTACACGTTAATTAAAAATTACCTAGTGTGAAATACACATGTTTCGTACCGTGGCTCTAATAATTTCATCACTTATTGTACGTTATCACTAAAATTCGAAATATAAATACATCTATGTATTGTATAACAGAAGTGGTCATACGACGAAATAATTAGAAGAATTCTAAGAAGGAAGGTTTCAACCGGTAAGAATAATGAGAATTGAGCGAATCGTACCGGTGAACGTTACACACTGAAATGTGTAGTCCTGTCTCAGTCTGTATGCCATTGGCGAACACGGCTAATTGAGCGGGACACGGCGCCGCCAACTTGTATTTCCTGATAGCGTCGCGATTACACGCCTCGTGCAATTACTTGGGAAACTCGTAACTGCGTTTCGTCGCCGCTGCGCAAAAGTTCCGCAACGCATCACGACGCGGCAACTTTAAACGCTTCCCTGTCACACGCTCCTCGAACTTCCCCATTGAGTTTCTGCAAGCCCTTTTCCTAACCTGCGTTAGTTCCTAGTTCAGACGTGTGAGTAATCGGTTCTAATACGCAACCGCGACGTAGTTACTGTCGTTTTGTCGAGGGTTTAACTGTGGAACAAGGAAACTTGTCGAACGGATGAATTGTAGATTTTCTGTTTCAAATCGCGAGTCGCGAAAATAAGTTTTTCAAGGATCACTGTCTCGCCTCGATTGTTGATGGAAAAATATTTAGGAGGAAAATTAATCTGGCTAGGTGAAAGTAGAGGCTTCGTTCTTAAAAATGACTGTAAGTCGGTTATTGTACGATTTTCTTTCACGAAGTTATTGGTAGGTCAAAGATCGACAATTTTTCGGCGAAAACTTTGAGATCCTTTAATTTTGCCACCGAGTGTATTAAGGAATCAGTGAGGCACTGTGATTTTAATTAACACGTAGAAACAACGTCCACAGAAAAATTTAGATGTACTAATATCCATGTCACGTAATGCGCTAATTTTATTTTAGCCCCTTCAAAGACATTAATGCATATTGCTGCGGTTATTGATTTCCGGTCATTTTTAGAACAGTATAACTTTCCTGAAATTGAACCAAGCGACTTGAGTTTCTTTGAGAAATTAGAAAAATTAGTTCACTAGATAACGTATCCCAAAAATCTGGAATCGCGAAGAAAACTGTAAAGGTCACTGTTTACAACTTTTTTACCTCAGCTTGTTACGAAAATTTCAAACATACGTTTTGTAGATCCATGTCAATTATATATATACTGAAAATTTCACCGTATATAGAATTACATATATATGCAATTTTAAAAAAATTTTTGGTATAGTTGGGACCTCGATATAGCGAGGTCAAATTGTTTATTGCGTGGTGGATGTTGGGGTGTTTGTTTATGGTGATGTATGATGTCGGTGTGAATTGTGATTGGTCGAGTGCTGAGGGAGGTGTAAATAATGGAGGAATGTTTGGTTGTGGACAGAGAGTACAGGAATGTTGATGACAATAACAGTTTATTAATTAAGATAATTCAATATTAATGGTATATTGGTAATAACTAACACTTACACCTCGGTTCATATGGGACACCTACTAATTTGAGCTTTACATTAACATTGTTAAACACCGGCGTTGTTAAATCAAACGATTGTTTATAGATTACTTGCACCGAGTATAGTTCTTTAATGCTGAAATCTATTGAAAATTGTATGTACAAAGTTTGAAATTTTTTCGTTGATATACGCTCGTGGTTTCGCGATGATGGATTGAAATCATTTTTTAAAGTTTTTTTTAGAGTTTCTTCGTGGATTTCTTTCTAGGACCACTGCAAATGTGTCCATAGATCTTTTTGTCCGAATACTTCTGTCTAATTCATCCAACAATTTCTGGTGTTGAACTTCATTATAAATATTACAGTTTTTCTTGTATTAATTATAATAAAATATATACTTTAAATGTAATTGTTATCGAAATAAGAATTTGTGAAACGGTAAGGTGTCCCATGACTTATGGACGGAGGTGTAACTCTTAGCTCAGCTCAACTCTTGATACTCTATAATACGCGCTCTCTGATGCTCTCTCTCAATGACTCTTTCGCTCTATGAACGCTCTATCCGCGCGTCTCATGCACCCTGTTTTAATCTTTCGTTCACTCATTCTCTCTTTATGCTCTTTCACTCTTCGCGGACATTCTCAGAACTCATCCAGTAACGTCCATCCAAATTTAGTGGCCAAGAAATCTTCGTTCGCTGAATCCGCTCCAAACACTTATCATTCCCACCTCTATCGCTCGAATCTAAATATTCTTCGTTCACGCAGCTATCGTTTTTAATTAAACATTCATAGGAGATGTAACTCTTCATTCGCAGCTCTATTTTTCCAGTCCACAGACTCGTTACGATCATTCTTACAATAAGGATTCGGAAAATGTGTTAGAAAATTCTAGTGGAAGGAGAAGTACAGATGAAGGAGGTTTGGAAATTGGAGGAATGTAGGAAGAACCCGGAAAGGTGAGAAGAATGGCGAAGAGAATGACTCGGGATTCTTCTTCACCCTAGTTTTATGACAAGAAGGCAATTTCTTCGGATTTTGAAATTACAAATCGTAGAGAATTTGTGTAGGCTTTAAAATTAAAGCTGGAAAGGTGTTATTATGGTTTTAATGGTCGATCGAACATTAACTTTCGAGTATACTCTAGAAATCGAGGAAAAAATCGAGTGTCACCCAGCCGGGAATCGAACCCGCGACCTCTGATTGGCAAGCCGAGGCTTTGTCCACTACGCCAACAACTCCCTCCCTATTTTCCCTTAGAGGTTCCTTATTTGAGTACCAAGGCTCCGATCCTACAATACACTTTTTTCATCCCTTTCTTCTCTTTTTCTCTCCCGGTACTCTCTATGATAATTGTACCAGAGAGCTATTTTATTCCGAGTAAGTAGCTTCGAAGATATCCCCGGGACGTTGCATTAGAATCGATCAGGCCATTTCGCGGATTTACCGACTGCCTTCGGAATCGAGAAGGCTGGATTAACGCGGCTTAAGCTTCTCGACGACGATCCCGAGGGGAAATGGTTAGAAGAATGGAAGGATCGACAGTCTTATGGGATAATTCGGGTTTGTATCGTAGAGAGAAAGAGAGAGATTAGTTTGAAGAGTTTAAACGGATCTTTCGCATTCGATTGACCTCGGGAATGAAAATTCTCGCCAGACACGAACTCTCTTCTGCTTTGCAGCGTGCTCACGTGTGATCCGTGACACTTATTGCAACAGCCGTTCAATCCGATTGAAATTCACGACAGACGATCCCTTAGACACTTTGTTTGCAAGGAATTCCAATCCGTGGGGTTGCAGGAACACGAGATTCATAGTTTCATACCCGGCTGAGTTTGGCTACATACCCGGCTACTTTTCGTATTCCACGCGTGTCGCGGTTACGTCTATCCGTTTCCGACTCTGCCACCTTTCATTCTCTGATAATCGTGCGTAGAGGCGGTGGAGAACGGTCCTGGTATTCGAGGACAAAAAATTGTTCTGGAAGGAAGCGAGGGAAGTCAGTATTTCTCTAACAGATAAGAGATTTCCAATAGGTAACATCGAGGAAGCGAGTGTCGCGACAGGGGGGAAATATCCTGTCTGACGTCACACACTTTCTAGACGTATCTAGTTACAAAATAGGAAATTCGATTTTCATCGTTGACACTTGTCATTTTCACCGGAAGAAAAACAGACATCCACCGGTTGGCTCCTTTCGATCCGACACGCTGCGCTCTTGACGCGAACAATCGAGCTTTCCGTTGCAAGATGAACGTTCCGTGGGGATACGAGAGCGTGGAGGATCTGACGTATAGTCGGTGGAAGGAATAATTGTACGTCGAGGTTAGAGAAGTCGTAGTTCGTTTTCGTTGAAAATTGACCCTGAAGAAGTAAGTTGCTTCACGTCACAGCGTTGATGATTATAATTTGCAATGATTGAACGACGTGGACTTCGAATTTGGATTTCAACCGAGTGAAGCCTTTCGAATTTTCTGTATAGTGTAGTAGATTGTGTGAGGTTGCATTGAATCACACTCAGGAGCCAAAATGATTACCTCCTCTTTTTGATATTCTCCCAATTTTATTATAATAGCAAAGTCTAATACATGCTTGGTGCTTCATTTTTCATAAATAATACAAAATTTAATAAATTTTATTTGACAGAGTTAGCCACTTTGGTTTCTGAGTGGTGTTGGATTTATAGCCAGATAAATATAACAAAAATTAAATCTAAAGCCTTCCTAAGATGTATAGTTGGGGCCACGATATAGCGAGGTCGTAAATTAAACTCTCAAGAATCGGCATCGATTGATGTTGCGGCACTCAAGGCCGTGTGTTGCAGTCTGTTTGAGGGTTCCAACAATAAACGAATGGTAGCATATGATTTGGTACTTCAAGTAGAAAATGGTATTTCATTTACAAATGGAAAATATGTTAATATTAAGCTACACAATCTTTTTGCACTTTCTATCTGTATATAACACGAGTAGATAAACTAAGATGCTAAAGACATCAATAAGACCTTTACCTGTAACCGTACTTCCAAAAGCGGCTTCCCCCAGAGGGAGAAACCCTAATTTGTCCTAGCTGCATGCAGTTTTCAGTAAATATATTAGAATCTGTTGACTTTCGCTGGATACAAGAATTCTTCGTACGGTCCTGACAATGGTTTCAAGTACTTATCTGCTCGTATCTCTGTCAATTTTCGGGTCCCGGCAGCTAAAACATGTTTACTTTGACGTCTGACCAATTTTACGACCTCGCTATATCGTGGCCCCGACTATACGTTTCATCTAATAAACTAATCCTTTTAACTTCTCAAAAAGACTCGAGTCAGTTGGTTCAATCTCAGAGAAGCTACACTGTTCTAAAAATGGCCGGAAATTAAGGACCGCAACTCGGTTACAAGATGCAGATAGAAAATGCAAAAGGATTGTGTAGCTTTAATATTAACATATTTTCCATTTGTAAATGAAATACCATTTTCTACTTGAAGTACCAAATCATATGCTACCATTCGTTTATTGTTGGAACCCTCAAACAGACTGCAACACACGGCCTTGAGTGCCGCAACATCAATCGATGCCGATTCTTGAGAGTTTAATTTACGACCTCGCTATATCGTGGCCCCAACTATAAGTTGTGCTAACATTTAATATTTAAAAAAAATTCCAATATTTGTAATAAAGGAAATATGCAAAATTTCCCAACGAAAAGAAGAGAAATACGTCATATGGGTCGCTTGTCACTATACTTTGATACATTTTTGGTTAATATCCTATCCTGGGTTAAATTTACTTAAGTTGTGCTAACATTTAATATTTAAAAAAATTCCAATATTTGTAATAAAGGAAATATGCAAAATTTCCCAACGAAAAGAACAGAAATACGTCATATGATAACACTAACTATATTCGACGTTGTTCCTGAGAAGCTAATCATCCCCAAAAATAACAGCACGATGTAAACACTGTATAATATTTATCATTGTAACATATATATGTAAATTTTCAATATTTCGCGATGCACAAGCTCGATCCAATAAGACAGACATTATCCTCGCAAGCGATCGTCCACGATTATTCAAACTATTCGGTACCTGCGTCTTCCCTTGTCGATTACGCCGAGTTAATTCTCACGTCAGCCGAATGGAGCCCACTAGGAAGGCGACGCGTGCTTCGAATTATCCGAACGGGTAATACGCCTTAATGGGAATATAGGTTTCGAACGGAAGAGAAGTAGGCGTGTCACATCCCCCTTCGTTCCTTCTTCAGCCGCGTAATTACACTCGTTTCGTCGGTTAACCCTCTGCTACCAAGACCAAGTGTTACCCTCTTCCTCTTTATTCTCTCTTTCTTCCCATGTTCGAAAACTTTCTTGTTTACCCCGAGCGTAGTTAGTTTAATTAAAGCTCAACGCGCTCGAGCACCCTGTCAGCTTTCAAATGAACACGTCCCGCGTTACACACTGGCACGGTGTTAAATTGCCGGGAGATAACGCACCGAATCTAGCTTAAACGGCGTCTTAACACGGTGTAACATTGATTGTGAGTGGAGATCAGATAGCCGTGTTATGCACAGCCCACGTATATACGTCCAACCGACTGAATTAACGTGAAATAAGGAGAGATCACGAGAGAGAGAGAGAGAGAGAGAGAGGGGAGAGCTTGTATAGTGGCGGGAAGCTAGAGCCAAGTTAGACGTCGCCTAATGCCATTCCAAGACGCAAAGTTTCTTAGCACCGCCCTCGCTCTCTACATCCGTTTCTATTTCGCTACGTCTACGACGTCTTTCTTGCACGAGTAACGTGCATTCAAATTTACCGCTTAGAACTCGAGGGAGATAGAGTGATCTCCGAGGGTGAATTCGCTTTTCTCTGATCGTGCAAATATGGAAATGTTAATATTTATATTGCGAAGAATTGTTCTTGGTACGAAGAGAGAGGATTGTGTACGGTGTAGAGAAGAAGGTGCACACGGGACAGCAAGAAGATGGATATATATCTTTTCGCGAATTCTATTCAGTGCTTCGTTCTAACAATGTTGACGCGTGTGCACCGGTGACGAAAGCCGCTGGCGGACAATATTTGACCAGCATCCATTTCTACTACGGTAGAAATCTATGCCGAGAAAGAAATCAAGGATTCCGGATGAAATAAGTTGGCCGGGTGTACTCGCCGGGGGCGAGGTAACCGAACCTCGCGAAACTTGTACGTCGCGAGCTAATGCCATTGTAAGAGGCAAAGTTTAGCCCCCGCTTTTCCGTCCGTTCTCGCCGTATATCTTCCTCGTTCCATTCTGTTTCTCTCTCCCGAGAGTACCCCGGGCTCGCCGTGTCCGCGGGACACACACTGCGGTGTGTTGTTGCCCAGAAACATGGCCATTTCATGGTATCGTGGCACACTCGATAAAACGAATTTTCCACTGTGTACCTGGTGTTTCGAAAGTGTGGATTCGAAATGTGGAAATTAGGATTAAAATTCGATAGGTTTAAAAGGGTTGATTTTTTTTGTCAATGAGATCTAGCAGATTGTGACATTTGTGTTTATACATTTGAAACACCCTGTATGTTCTCGTTCAGTTCGCAAATTTCGAGCGAAATGGTAGAAAGAGTGAACGAATCGAGAATAGTATTATCGAGATAATGTATGTTCTCGTTCAGTTCGCAAATTTCGAGCGAAATGGTAGAAAGAGTGAACGAATCGAGAAGTATTTACGTAGTATTAAGTAACTATTAAGACGTATAGCTTGAATGGGGACGATACAGGGTGTCTCGTTAATTATGAACATCTCAAATATTCCCGCTGCCATTGAAAATAAGGGAAAATATTCCTCCAAGATCTTCTACACCTCTGAAAGATTAAGCTTTTATTATTTATATCTGTAAGCCCCGCGATTGTAACATTTCTACCTGCACCTTTGAAACACCCTGTATATTCTCATTGAGTTCACAAAGATCTCTAGTTAAACGATACAAAGTGCGAACGAATTGAAAAGTGCAGCCCTTATCTACAACAAGGTGCAATTATTAAGACGTCGCTTGAATGAGAACGATACAGGGTGTCTCATTATTAATGAACATCTACATTATTTCCGCTGCTATTAAAAGTAAAGAAAAATGTCCTCCCATGTCATCCACATTTTTTTCCAACTTGAAGTCCACCTTAAGCTCATAATTTCATAGATCGTTGAACTGGTATTAATGTCGAAACAGATGTCAATATGAAAAACAAATGTCCATGACCTTTGAATTAACCTTCAAGGGGGACATTTTTTTCTTCGTCACCAGATGTACGTCCTCAAACTATGTAAACTGTACTTACTTAGTCATTTTTTTCTTCCTTTCCATAGCAGCGGGAATAATTTAGATATCCCTGTATAAATGAGACACCCAGTGCACTATTTTAACAGGGGACAGCGACAATAGTACAGACGTTTTCTTAAACCAGGCTGAAACTTTATCGCGACAGTAGCAGTTATTCAAAGGATGAACAACAGCAGCATAAAGACGATTTCTTTCTTTCTGTTTTCCAGGCACAACGACCTGCCGTGGAACATACGCAAGTTCCTGAAGAACCAGCTGAGGGAGTTCAGGTTTGATGACCTGAGGGATAGCCATCCTTGGTCGCGTAGCGCCTGGAGCCACACGGATCTGAGAAGATTGAAGGAGGGGATGGTAGCAGCGCAGGTGAGCTTAATAATAACCGCAATAACGCGAGCCCTCCGCGAAACACATTAATCCAGAGAGAAACGCGGCCGCAGAGAAGCTGTTTCGCGGCGAATCATGGAGGTTGTACGATATGATATATTTCGTCGACGCCCGTTAGACAGCGTCCAATTTCTCGCGCCGCTCCTCCGTACGTATCTCTCCGGCATTTCGCGAGTCAGACGTTTAGCTGGAAATTTTCTCGAGGAGGAAGAAAAGGCGCGTCACGCGAAAAGCTCGATGCAACCATTTGAAACACTTTTCCCCCAAAGGTCCTTCGTTTCCATCTTTCAACTCCATTCTCTCTCTGTCTCTCCCTCACTCCCTCTCTCTCTCTCTGCCTCTCCCTTTCTCTCTGTGTTCTCTCTCTGTCTCTCTGGAGCGACGATTTATGGGCGGTCGAAAATTACGAGCCACCCGTTTCCACTTTTCTCTCCGTGGATCGAGAAAGGAATTTCCAGGCGCTGGGGTAGGTCGATGCAAGGGAAATCGAACGATAATACGTGTTCGCGTAATAGAGAGAAATTCTCCCGTTTCTCCGATACCTTCTTTTGTCCTTTCGTCTTTGGCAATTAGTCGGAGTCGAAAGCACGCGATTTTCCAGTCGAGAAAATTAAAGTCTCGCGGATACTCTTTACCTAGAGGAATCGCGTGTCGTTGTTCACGTTAGTCGCCCACCTTTCCCCGCCCCTCAAGGATCGCAATTCGAACGTAAAAATTGCTTCCGGTTTGGCATTTAAACTCCGTGCAATTATGTCGGACCGAAACGAGCCGCAAACGCGAGGATCGCGTGCCCTCGCCGCGTACTCCTCTGTCTTACGATGTTTCAATTACCCACCACCTTGCCCCTTCTTCCTTTCTCAAGCTTGTACAACGGACCGTGGATTAATTAAGACCGATGTAAACCCCTTTTCTTCTCTCACGGGGGTTTCCTCGTGACGCCGGGTAATGGCAACGCGAGACACGCCATCATCGGGAAAAATCGCGCGGGAATCGGCGAGCATTAGCGAGCACAACCCAACCGACGCTTAGAGTAACGAAGCTAACTTTGGTAATTAATTTCTCGCGGTACCCCGAGATTACGCGCTGACGAAAATTTACCGCAGACTCGACGAACGGACCACTTTCTCTCTCTCTCTGTCTCTGCTCGTTCACCCTGATATCCTTCGGATTAATCTCGGTCAGACATTTCTATTCCTGCTATCGCTATTTCGGTCTGCTTATATCCGCTACGTTTTACACGTCAAATTTTTTAATCTGAAGCTGTCTCGTTGTAGCATTTCTTTCACGAGTACTGGTATTTTTGTGAAATTCTTTTTTTACGCTTTATTTAATTGGTAAAATTTCACTCCAATTTCTAAAGTTAGACCCCGTGCAGACGAAGCCTTTTCGCAGGGATGACGCTGTGATTCGACAGATTTAACCCTGGTACGGTCTTCGGGTCTTTTTTGACCCATCGCTGTCTTCGCTTTTAACCCTTTCACTACGAAAGACGTATACAGGGCGTCTGTTTTATCTCAATACAGCGAAATATCTTTTAAGGAATTGATGTTAGGAAAAAAATGTTTATTTGTTTGGTACGAGGGAGAAAATTATGTGGTATAAATATTTTTTTGTACCGGGTATGGTGGGGGATATTTCAAAGTCAGTTTAATTTTTTTTAAATTAACAGCGAGCCAAATTAAGCTTGCGAGCCAAGTCATTTCCTGTCATGGAAGATCGTAAAATTGCGAAATACGTTCCTCACTGTCGCGTGTGTCTGTTTTATCAAAGAAAATGACTTCGTTCGCACCTCGTTGGATTCGTCTTAACATACAGTATCATATTATGTATAAAAAAATGTAGCATTCCATTGAAAAAAATTAAACTGATACCCGGTACGAAAAAAATATTTATGCCACATAATTTTCTCCCTCGTACCAAACAACTTTTGTTAAAACATTCTTTTCCTAACATCACTTCCTTAAAAGATATTTCGATGTATTGAGATAAAACGGACACCCTGTATACACACTCTCACAAATTTATCAATATATGCGTAACACCTTATTTTATTCGTTTATTTTAGTGAATGAGCATAACGATGTGCGACAGCCAGTCGCAACCACTCGCATGCGAACATCGCCGTCTATATTGATGGTTCTGTGCGGGACTGCGCCTCAGTCAAAGGGTTAAATAACTTTTGCTGTTATCACGTTCATATTCCCTTAACCAGTCAGCTGTTTTTGACGAGTGTACTCGTTATGAAGATGTGGGTGACGGGAGAATAAACGTACTCGTGCTCGAAATCTTTTATTTAGAAAAACCAGACGAGATTGGCGTCGTCGGTCGGGACCCTGGCTGCCCTCGGAACGTATCTCAAGTGTCTCCCCGCTTTCCGAGGACAGCCATCCCTTATCGGCCCGCCGCGACATCGACAGCAACGAAAGACACGTCCGTTGCGTGCGTCTCGCAGTCTCGATGGTGTTTGCAATGTGGCGCCGTGCGCGCTGCATGGGCCGCCACAAAGAAATGGCAATATTTTGTGTTACGACGAGTATACTCGTCATCGCTTACTTTTTGCGACACACTTTAGATACACACTTTTCAAAGAGGTCGCAACAGGTAACTGGTTAGCATTGTAGTAAAAGTTCATTGTCTAGTTTCATATGGCGTGCTAATAATAAAAATTGTTACACGTAAGGTCTTCGGGTCATTTTTGACCCAGTGGTCGCTGACCCATCAGCTGATCTCCCTTGCTTATTCATTCGATCATTGACGTGTTAATCGATCGTCAAGTATGCAAGTATGTGCATCTCTGTATGCGTAGATGAACGAGTGATTGACACCTGACGAACGAATCGCCAGAGAAACCGCGATACAGCGATCACCAAACGAGCAATGCCTTGAAAGAAGCGAGTGAAAGAAATGTGCAGATATTATTAACCCTTTGCACTCGGAGTGCCCCTTTTGTAAAATTAACACAAAAGCAAACTATACTATTTCATTTCAATATTCAACGTATTCTCTGTTTCACTATGTCGAACTTTATAGAGATCCCATAGATCTGCTCTCTGACTCGATCAATTATTTACCAAGCGAAGATTATTTAACGTCGCTCCTCGGTCGCCGCTCGGTTGCAAATGATTAAATACATTTCTATCTTCCACAACCCCGATTCTTACGTTATCTTTTATGCGCTACATTTGCACTCTGTAATTTTGTACCCGAAGAATAGGACAGTGCAGTACTATATTATACTCCTACGACGAACCACGAATGAAAGAAACGACAGAGGAATTGTCCATGTTTCTGATCGGTCAGCTTTTCACTTCCGGCGAGAAAGACCGGTCTCCATTTGTCCAGATGAAAAGGTAGCGTCGGGAAGAAGTTCGTGTGGCTAACGGGACGAAACGGAACGTACTACTTTCGAGAACGAACGAAAGGCCTCCATTCCGGCTTAGCAATCAAATAAATCTTTTCTTCGCTGCTTCTACTCTCTCTCTCTCTCTCTTGAGCCACTCGAAAGGCCTGATCGGAACTTTTCGTGTTTCACGAAAATGCGGGAATAACGGAGAGATCGTATACGAGAGACGTTCGACCTAGACTCGGTCAAAGAGAGAGCGGGTGGCAGGATGGAAGGAAAAAGGGGGAGAGACTATTTCGCGAAAATAGAAAATCGCCTTCTACTTCACTCGTGCTCCTCATCGTTCGAGTTCCTCTTTTGTGCTCTTTACTTTCAACGATGACATTACGTTAAACGACGGAGGGAGGAAGAAGATTGAGGTGGTAACGGAAAATTGTGATTGTTACGAGCCTCTCAGGAGTGGAGAGAGAAAGAAGAGTAAAAGGAGCAACGCTACTACGGCTAAGCGATCGAGTAAATCTCGTCGATAAGCGATTCCTTATTCGCACGGGAACTGTCTGAAGTACAAGCAACTTTAATCCGACAAATTTTCCACCGAAACTCGACCAAACTCATTATCAGGATTAACATTTCCCGTGATCACAATTTACCTTATCTTCTTCCTTCTCCTACGAGCACGCCTAACCTCGAACAGAAATCGTCCTCTTAACCATCGATTTCCAATTTCAAATCTTCCCCTTCTTGGCGAATTCAAGATTTACGAAAATAGTGGAGAACCGAAAGAGAGAAAATTTATCGTAACGTCAAGTAGTCGCTTTAAAAAGACGAAGAGGAAAAGAAAACTACGTTTATTCGTGTCCGTAAATCTCTAACGACAGAAACAACCTTTCAACGAGGGCTATTTCAGCCACGTTCACGTGGTTCCCGGGTGAAAAGACACAGCGCGAAAGGGTTTCTCGCGCGATACACGCAAAAATGATTCTTACTTTGTAAATCTTGCGAAAAAAAACCAGCCGTTTCAAGTGTCTCCAGCGTTCACGTCGCTTCAACCCTTGCGGCACCGTTCAAAGGGGAAAACTGGTCTGGAAAGGAGACCGCGCGGACAAGTAATATCGCGGGAACAAAAGTGAATTATAATTTTCACGTGTTCGTGTGTATTAAAGCACCTGTTTAAGCGGTAGCGAAACACACTTGAAGGTTGGCGCGCGGGAAATCCACCCTTACCTCCTCCTCGACGTCGCGTTCTCTAATGAAACTTGCTGCCTTGTGAAATTGCTTTCGCCTGCGAAACTCGCGGTGCTATCGTCCACGACCCTGGCCTACGTTGCATTGGTATCAGAGGAGACGCGACCACAACGAGTCTAGACGATGTATATATGTATATATTTTTGCGGAGGACGGTCGAGGGTGTTTGGTGGGGCAAGCATGAATGCCGAATTTGATGGAGCATGCCTCTATACACTGCCGCGCTTTCATTCAGTGACGTAAGACCTGACTCGACGTTGAATAACCGATATGACCCTCCATGAAAACAGCATTAGTCATGGCGACTGTGGACGTCGAATGGGAATCTACTCGGTGGAGAGATGTAAAACCTTGGGGATTTTTTAGTCGGGGTGGAATATGTGATTTCGAT